CGTAAACAGATCTATTAACAGATATCGGGATGCACTGACAAATTATTCCAATAGTGAATTAGGACAAGTGGCATGGCAGAATGAAAAAATTTAAAATATTATTATTTATGTTCTTCTGTATATCCAGTATACATATTACATATATATTATATAATTAGTGAATAGTAATAAACTTATTTATTTATTAATTATTCAATTAATATCATATGAAAATAAATTAATATAGTCTGTACTTACTAATAAATTTTTGTTCTTTTTTAGTTTTTTCACCAAAAACTTCAAATATAACAGTTGCAACTTCCATCCATCCATCATTTTTCTTATTTCTATCCTTATATAGTTCGTCACTTACATCCCATATAACTGGACGTTTTTCTATTTCTGTTATTAATAGTTCTACGTCCATTTTCAAATATTTTTTAAATATTTTCTACAGAAAAATTCACAGTTTTCACGATTAACGTACGTCAAAACAATGATCGTGTGACCGAGTCAATAATATCTAATAATAAATTACGACATCCAATAAGCGCTATTTACGTCCGTCGTAGCATGTATCGGACGTTACCAACGTCGAACGGACGTCAAGCGTGTGATCATCGTATAGTAATATCACTAATATCATATAGTTCAACAACTGACGTTATAACGTCCGTCGTAACGTACGTCAATAACGCTCGTGTGACCCCATTCTAAAGACTCTGTACATTGATCGATTGTATTTATTAACTAGTATTGGTTTTATACTTTTATATAAAGATATTTTTATCATTAGATATTATTTTCAACAATTGCTCAAATAATATAGAATAGGTTGAAGTTTTTGTAAGTAAAATATAAAAATTGACCGTTGTAATTTTTAACATAAAATGCAAATTTTTCATTTTTGCGCCCTCTGAGAAATTGCGCCCGGGGCGAAGGCACCTCTCTCCCCCCCATTGCTATGGCCCTGCGTATCCAAGAAATAACATAACGGTTTGGTTCAAATAAATTTATAGGAGGACCCATACAATGTATATATAACAATGATGACATGTTTGTAGTTGACAATGCATTTTTTTTTGGAGTTAAAATGTTATTCATAGAACTAAACACACGCTCACACTCTGATGATGATATAGCTACTGTATTTATTGCATATAATGAAGGTTTTAAATCAAGTATTTTAGAACTATTCTTAGTAGTGTCTATTCTTTGGACCGTAGAAAAGCATGGTTGTAGATATTAAACCGTGTAGAAAAGATATAATAAATTATTAAACAATAATATCAAAAAAAAATTTTTAATATGAAAAATAGTAAAATTTTTATATAATTGACATCAATTAAAAATCCATATTTTAATAAAAATTGTTTCGGACATTCGTTTGTACCATCCCCCCGTCTAAGTAAAAAAAATTAGTAGGGGTATGCAAAAAAAATTAAAAATAGCAGGGGAACTCCGTCACCTGCGCACCAACCATTTCGAGAACTGCTTATACATACTTTTAGTCTTATTAAGTAACTACAATTAAAATGATACGATTCGAATAAAATAAAATTAACAACACTGCCATACTGCAATACGTTCAATATTTTAAAAAAACACGCGTTTTTAGTATACACGAAAATAAAGAAAAAACATTGCATAAGAAATTATTGTATAATAATAAAATTGAATTACAATCATGGGACCTTTTCCGTTAATTCACTACCACTATTTTTTTGGTTTTTCCGTTTTTTTTTAAATTTTTTTTTAGATTATAATATATTATTATTATTATTATTTTGATTCTGGGGGCATGAAGTGTGCAATATGTTGTAGCATCGTTTCAAATAAATTATTAGGACCGTAACGCTTATGCCACATGTACTCGACCAAGTAGCTATACAGCATTGGTCGGTAGGTACCCCAATGTTTTTTATTTCGAGATTTTATTTTGCCCCAAGAACTCTCAATAGTATTAGTGTGAGCCAAAGTATTAGGATCTACAAAATTAATAGAATCATTCACGGTCATGTGTTGAAAAGTTTGATCTAGCCTTTGATAGGAACACCATTTATCAGTAATTATTGTCGTGCCTGCAGCAACATGTTCAATAATAATTGGCAACAATGTTCGTACTAATCTGTTGGGAACAGGAACTAGAAAAGTTTGTTTCAAAACCCATTGATTTGGTAAAAATCTGCCTCTGTTATATTTACGTTTACTGAAACAACTTTCATCGATCTCAACAGTTGTATTAACACCACCTATTTTAGCACTATTGTTTGTTAAAGTGTATTCACAGACCTCACGCATTTACATGTTCCGGTCTACTGTTGTGTTGTGGTTCATGTTAAATTCTTCCTCACAAAACTTTATGGAAGTATATTCCTTACTCCAACTATAAATAAACATTACTATTGTTTTATAGTCGAGACGTGAACCAGCCAGAAAATTATCCGCACGTAATGGCGCGTATTGTCGACACTCACGTTTTGAACAACACCAACGATCTTGTTTGTCAGTGAGTTGCAAAACCATTTCATGTTTATTTTTACATAATCTCGGATTATGCAAAATGCCACGAGTTTGTAAAAAACTCACTGCATTATTCTTTGTATCGCATTCGCTAGCTAGAGTAAGGAAATTTATGGTTACCTACTTAGTACTTAAATCCAACCATCGACTGACCACCGAATTCGCTAACCCTATGTGCAATCTTTCAAAGCGATAAGATAAGACAATAACATAAGATACAAGAAAAACCAAAATAATAATAATATAAGATAATCTAAAAAAAAAAAACAAAAAAAAAAAACGGAAAAACCAAAAAAATAATGGTAGAGAATTAACGGAAAAGGTCCCAATCATGATATACGAAAAACGAATATATTATATTATATAAAAAATAACACGGTGCACATTATACACGCTTCTATGAGTGTATGGTTTTATACGTATTATGCTTAAGTCTACTTGTATAATAAACTAGCTGTTTCCGTGTACATTTTCTCCGTAAAAAATGCATCTGAGTTAAATTTGGTGTCAACATTTTAACATTTAGCGTAACATATGTAGATAAATATATTTTTCGTTTTCTAATTTGGCGAAGGAATAGATATAAGATGATATTTACGACATATCAACTTAACAGCTGTTCCGCCAAACGTTGATTTTTTCAGACCATTTAACTGAAACATTTTTTTTTCTTTTTTTTTTTTTTTTTTGTTGATAGACCCAAATTCCCGTAATTTCTTTACATTTTAGACCAAAAACCAATTACTCATAAAGTTTCATTAGTGTGAATCAAAAATAACAAAAATGTTTTGTATAATATTATTAAAAATTAGTATTTATTAGTTATAAGTTATAACTAATAATAATTGATAACACGGATGATAAAAAATATCTTAATGAGCAATTTTGCCGATAATTTAAAAAAATTATAACTCAATTTTCAATTAACTTTTAGAATCATGATTGAACTTACTTAGTAATTTACTCTTTCATAACAAAAAAATCAAGACAATCCGACGTATAGTTTCAGAGAACATGTATGACAAAGATTTTCATTTTCACATTTATATTTATAGATATACGAAATTAATTTTAACAACAAATAATAATTTTCTGAGAATAGGAAGAAAATAATTTATTTAAGTGGAAATAATATCATAAATAAAAAAAAAAAACAAGAAACCGAACAGATAAGGGTAAAAAACAAAAAAGTTTTTGAGTGAAAAGTAATGCAATTATTGTTGTACAAAAATCGTATATACGTCACGCACGCAAACATTTTTAACGAACGACGATGTAATAATAATGTACCCGGAAATTTTTTGGAGTTAATCGCTTTTATAATTTATCAATCAATAAACGTAGAATGTATATATGTAGGACAATCCATTAACTCTGTTCGTGGACTACCTTCCAATAACGGACGTCGGACACTTTCATATGTTTTTTATTAGAAAAATACAAGTAAGCTTCGATGTATAAAATTTACTCATACTCATACATAAGACCATAAGAATCCTAATGAATGGACGCAACATAGCTGTTTATTCCTTTTCTACTCTCTTACAAACGATAATTAAATTTTAAATTTGAATTCTAAGATTAGAATAAATTTATCTATTATCAAGTTTAAATACGATTACATTATTTAAGTACTCTTACGTCACGTTGATTATTTCCGAAATTGTAATCTTTTTAAAAATATTGTAATATCCTTATTCTGTATTTAAAATTTAAAAAAAAAAGACACTGAAAAAGATTACTACGTTATCTAATTGAGATATTTAATAATAGGTTAATTCTCTATAAAAAAAAAAAAATAAATAAATAAAATATTATACAATTTAAAATTAAAATAAGAATCACAAAAAAAAATATATAATTATTATTTTCTTTTTGTAGCTTGAAATAAAACAAAGTATTTTAGATTTTGAACGGAGCGATGAATATAATGATTTTTCAATGACGTGATATTTTTTTTTTATTTATATAAAACTTATATTATAGTAAACATTGGTTATCTTTACTCATCTCATTTTGCTTAAATCGACAGAAAATAATGGAATATATGTTTTTAAAACACAAGAACGATTTTCAATTATTACTTTCAATAAACTATTTTTAGTGGAAGTTAGATTAACTCACACTTTTCGTAATGTGTTTTAATAACTTTCTACCCATAGTTTGATATACTCGTATAATAAACCCCATTTTTATTTATTAAAATAATTTTTAAAACCTTTTTTACGAATTACGATAAACAACATTGACAGTATATTTTATTGCATTTGTGTTATTATGCTAACAACTTCTAAATAATATCTAAAAATGTAAAACATGTTTAATATGGATTGCATAATATCGTATTATTTCTCCATGTTTTTAGTGTGTGTGATACAATTTCGTCATCTTGTATATAAGAAAAAATAAAATTCGTCTAATTATTGGATAACCTATACTTTCTATAAAAACAATTTCTAGCTTTCTGCTAATAAATGTTGAATTTAAACTTTATTTCGTATTCGATTATCATACCTATATATCTTACAATTGAAATAATTACCAATAATTATGTCAATTATTTCTTAATGGAATTTATTGATTAAACGCACTAGTATAAATTCACTATTCTCTTCAATATCAAAGTATTTTAATCACAAAATAAACAAAACGGTATCTTAAGGCTTGACCACAAACGGTCCGTCATTTTGAGAAATTAAACGTGCTGCCAGGAAACAGATATTTTTCTTTTTTTAAGTTTTATGTGGTTTGTAGCAGTGATGTATTTACGGGTGGGGGGTTCAGGGGTACTGGTCCCCCCCAGAACCTCTCAAAAAAAAAAACTAAAATTCTTACATATTTGCAGAACCCGATTTATGTAGGCACGCGCGGTCGCGTGTACATAGTTTTTTCCCGTGAACAAAAGATTATATAAAATTATATTTAATATAATTAAACATTTATAGTTATGTAATTATTCTGATGACAGTTTCAAAGTTAAGACTTAATACGAAGTGCGATAAGCCGATTTAAGTAATAGGTATTAAGTACCCGTATCTTTGAAATATACACTTTATCGCATTGAAAAACTGATTATTGATGGATTTGTGTGTATAGTATATAGAAATTAGTAATAGTTGTGTAGCCAATAGCCATATACGGATAGGTATAATAAAATATAAATTAGTAGCTTTTATCTTTTATATTTTTTTTAAGATATTACACATTTTCTATTAGTCTCATTTTGCCTTTAACATCTATACGAGTAACGCGTGAACCAGTAAATAAGAGTTTATTGTATTTTTGTCAATATTAAGTAAGTACAGTGCTTTTATTATGTCTCAGAAAACTTCGTTAAGCCAATTTTTTAAAAAATCCAATGATACAAATGTTCTGCAATTTGACCACAAATCTTCAGTTTCCGTAACTTCTCCAAATAAATGACCAATTTCACCAAATATAGATAATAATGTCAAACGTACTAAACTGTCAAACAAATCTGATAATACTGAGACAGAAAATAAACATAATTTTAACAATTTCGATATTGGATTTTATTTTAACCGCACGTTAACAGATGTAGAGAAAGAAGAAGTTCTTAAAAATATTTGAAAGCCCGAACCTACTTTTGAATTCCCTAATACTGTGATATTTAGTGGTAAAGATAAACGATCCAAAAATTTAAAATTTCAATACAAATGGTTGCATACTTTTCCATGGTTAGCGTACTCCGCAAAATTAGATAGTGCATTTTGTACGTTTTGTGTAGCGTTTACTAAATCAGGAGCCAGTATAAATTCTCAAACATTAGGCGCTTTGGTTAGAAAACCTTTTCAAAATTGGAAACATGCAATGGAAACGTTTAAAAATCATGTAACACTTCAGTATTACAAACAATCCGTCTTTGATGCAGATCATTTCATAGATATAAAAAAAAAACGTACATTTATCCATTGAAAATCAATTAGACACTGCTCGGGCACGACAAATTTTTGAAAATAGAAAAAACATTACACCTGTTATTGAAACAATTATTTTATGCGGTCGACAAAATATACCTTTACGAGGTCATCGTGATTTCGGAAAATTAACCTTTGATAATAATGATGTTAACGACGGAAATTTTCGTAATTTATTACGCTTTAGAGCTAGCAGTGATGTTTCGCTTAAACTACACCTTGAAAGTTCTGGTACTATAAAATATACAAGTCCTATTAGTTAAAATGCTATAATTGATTCGTGCAATTCAATTTTACTCAATAAAATAGTTGCCAGAGTTAATGAAGTGAAATGTTTTACAGTTCTTGTCGACGAAACTGCAGATATAGCCGGTCTTGAACAAGTGTCTATTTGCGTTCGGTATATTGATTTAAAATCCCATGAATTACACGAAGATTTTCTACAATTTGTTCCAACCACTGATGCATCAGGAATAGGTTTATCAAGACTTATACTGGACAATCTCAGAAAGTTTGGTATAGATACACAATATCTTCGGGGTCAGGGGTATGACGGTGCAGCCGCGATGGCTGGGAAATATAATGGAGTTCAAGCTTATGTAAAAAAAGAACATCCTTAAGCTTTATATGTGCATTTCTCTGCTCATTTCTTAAATCTTGCTGTATCGGTATCATGTAACGTTTTCCAAATACGCAACTGTATGGGAACGATAGGAAAATTGAGATTTTTTTGGGTCTCCGAAACGAAAATCTGTACTGTCGAAAGTTATTGAAATGTCAGAAAATAATACTTCTAAAAAATCTGTAATAACACAAAAAAGGTGAAACTAACGTATAAATATAAAAATATTAAATAGTACGATGAAAGGTATAAGTATGATGTGGCCGGACTGACACAAGGGACATAAGCCTTTTATGTAAGTCCGGTATTAATAAATATTGAGTATACTTATTCTCGTGTTATTACCTTCCTCCCGTTCTTTGGAGGGTTCACGAGATCGTGATTCAAGAATGTGATCAAATACACCGTTACACGAATTAAATAATAATAGAAACCGTACTAACAATTAGTATATCAAACATGCAACTTACCTGATTCACCGCAGTGAATGTTTGTAGTACGTTCCTCGGAGAAAGGTATAAGGTGTCACAAGTTACGATACGATTTAAGGAAAACTTATATTTAAATAAGAAAAACAACACTGATTTAAATTAGAAAAAGAAAGAAGTCCAGATGTCGCTCGCAGAGTCTTGTGTGTATGTCGTATGGTGGTTTTGGGATAAAGCTCCTGCTCGTTTGTCTGGTGCGCCCGCACTCGTAATTTTTGTCGGTGCTCATGCACTCGATAGTTTGGCCGGTCCTCATGCACTCGTGGCTTGGCTGGTGCTCGTGCACTGCAGGGAGAAGACGACCTGGTCGAGCCAGCCAGAATCGCAGGCCATGCCATCATAAAAAGGACTCAGCGTTTTTTCAAAGAAATAGTCTTTCTTCTATACGACAGAGAGCTTCATTGTACCATGGCCCGCCTCCGCTGGCTAACGAAATTGGTTCACACGCTTTTCGAGATATTGTCACAACTCATGTGTCAATTCCTTTGTGATCATATAATATAAGTCGTTTTCTTTCATCAGTGGCAAAAGGATGTTTGTAGGGTTTAATCTGCGTGCGACAACTTGACCGTTAATTTAATTAATTGAATTTTATGTATATGTAATAAATAATGATATGTGAGCATATCATTACAAATCATTGAAGAGAAATTGTGAGACAAGGTGGATTGAACGATATCATTCAGTTAGTGATTTTTTAGAACTGTTCGAATGTGTAGAAGTTATTGAAGAAATTTGCGAGTGGGATCATACAGATACGTCAAATCAAGCTAGCACTTTTCGAAATTCAATTCTCCAACCAGAATTTATAATTACAAAAGTATTTGGATTTGGACTCCCACTATCAAAACAGTTTCAACAAATTAATATTAATTTAAAATTGGCCATGGATTTAGCTCAAGATACTTTAATCGAGTTAGAAGATTATAGAAAACACACTCAGAAAAATTTTGAAGACATTTTTTTAGCTGACAAGTTCAATGTGACAATGACAATTCCGAGAATTAATAAAAGACAAGTACATAGAATAAACGTACAAACTAATAATCCTGAAGAATATTTTCACATATCGGTTTTTATTCCATACTTAGAATCTTTTATAAGTCAATTAAAATCTAGATTTCTTAATCATATTTATATTTTGTCAAGTTTTCACTCTCTTTTCGACAAAATTCTACAAAAGAAGAATTCAAAAAATTAGCTGAATTTTCCAAAGAAGATTTAAATGGTAATATTTCAATTATAGAAGAGTTCCAACTGTAGCAAAGGAAATGTAAAAAGTTGGAAATAAAACTAAAAAATTCAATTGATGCACTGAAGTTGTGTAATGCAGACATATATCCAGGAGTTAATAAGTTATTTAAAATTTTGTCTACACTTCCTATACCCACAGCTTCAAACGAACGGACTTTTTCATCACTAAAAAGAATTAAAACATATCTACGAAATACAATATCTGAGGTAATAAAATATTATTAAAACATTTTAATTTTTAAACTTATATTTGTAGTTATTTTGTTTTAGAAAAGACTAAATGGATTGGCAATGTTAAACATTCACAGGGAAGTTGAAATTAATGTTGATGAAGTGATAGAGGAATTGGCAAAAACATCGAGACGACTGGAATTTATTTTATAACAATACTTCATAATTTAGTGCTAAATACAATATAATATATATAACATTGCATAAGACTAAACGATTATATATATTGTCCAACTTCCTTCAAAAACTGCATAAGGACGTAACTATTACAATATATCATAGTTTATATTAATTATGTATAAACTGAGGACCCCCAGAAAAATTTGAAAATACGCCACTGTTTATAGGTAGGTACACTGTTAATTTGCAATTTTGGAATATGTTATATTATTATATACTTAGCTCTACTGGTTTTATTTTTTACTGATTGTTTCTAATGATCTTTTTAAAACTTGTTTGTTATTTGTTGTAATAATTTGTTATTTTTTGTACTACTTGAAACCTTCGCAATAAAAATATTTATACCTAATTTAGGTAAATTAGGTCTACTAATATTTCATCTTATTCAAATAACTTAAATTAATATTAGATTCGATGATACAATAAATATTTATAACTTATTTTTACGAATAAAATATGAATATTTTATTATACTATTAAATTAAAAGGGTTGTAGAGGTTAAAGCATGTTTTAAGAAGTAGTAGTATCATACAATTATTTAAAAAATTTGTTTTATTGAACATGTTTCAATATTTGAATAATTATAAGCATAAACACAAACAGAACTTTTGAAATATTTTGTATTATTATATTGTAACATTTTATATAAATATAATTACTAATATTCCATTATAACTATCAAGTCTGAATTTCCCAATTAAATTATGTGATGATTTTGTTAAGACTGCATTGATTATTATATTTTGTATTATTATTTGTAATAATTGTTATATATAAATTGTTTTTGATAATTACAAATATATGAAAAAAATATATTGAATTATACTGTAGTAAAAGTTTGGATTTTCACAACTTACAATCTAATCTTACTACAATCTAGTAAATGTAAACTTGAGGTGTTCTTACAGATTATGTAACGTCACAGCAATAATCTGCTATGCATGTGTTATTTTGTTCATTTACCCACAACGTTGAACATAAACTAAATACTTTAATAGTACTTTAATAGATGGTAGAAATTAAAAATTTAATTTCTTAAAAAACAATTGGTTTGAACTTTGAATGTAAATATGAATGAATTAACAGTGTTACACGGAATAAAGAAAAATGGTAATTTCCCCGTACGTGGCAGCACGTTTAATTATTTTATAAAATGTCGGACACGATTTTATCGTCTCCCATAAGAGCCCATGTTAAATACAAATGATTCCGTTCTGTTTATTCTGTGTTTTAATATACTCGTGTTTCATAATTAATAACTATTGATAATTGGCATTGTAATATTTTAATACTATCTTTGTTTGCAAGATATATTTTTAAATTTTTAATATGTTTGACATACATTCAAAATTAAATTTTACTAAATACAATATTAAACTATGGCTCTTTTATTCCAAATATGTTGTCATGAAAATTGTTATTTTAATTTAAAATTTTCCGAAAATTATTGTGTAACTATATAGATATTTTATTACATTTTAATAATAAGACGTACTCCATTGTTAGTTATATTTTATTAGTTTTCTGTACCAAAACACAAAGATGAGAATAAGACATTAACATAATTCGTAATTTTTACAAGTATATCGTATTTTAGCTGAATGGAAACAAAACGCAGAATGCATTTTTTAAAAGAAGAAAATGGAAGAACAAAAAAATCAACAAATATTGCGTTCTATTGTACTTTATGTGAATCTTGATTTTTTTTCATTGAATCACTGTAAGTAAATCTTCATATTGTTATTAAGTCCACGCACCCACACACATCAATGAAAATCATTTTTTACACATATTAATGCATTAAAATAATATCCAACCGTGTAAATAATAATATTTCTATATTTAATATCAAGTTCAAATCACTATAAATAAAATAATAAAATAATAAAATAATTCTAATATATAATATAATTGGATAATAATAACGACAACATGAAGTAAATGATTACATAAAAAAATAATAACCATAATAAAATACCACTATGAATAACATTGTTATTGAGTTAATAGCTATACTACGACCAAACACTTCTATACAAAACTATAAACATTAAAAGATAATAACCCGATGTATTAAAATAATTGAATGTTCTCGGTCATTATCCCAAATTGATTTTAATTCGTACTGTAACATTAAAAACAAATTTTCTAAAGTACAAAATAAAAAATTTAAAATCAATTAAAATCCATTATAAAGTACGTTTTGGTATGAATAATAATAATAATAAAAAAAAAAAAACATGTATCAAGGTTTCAATGCTTAGATGATTAAATTATTTGCGTTGTAAATTGGTAAGGTTACGAAAATTCTAGGATCCCTCATAAACTTATAATAAGCTTTACTGACACCTATATTTTTCGCCTAAAAAATAAAAAAAAATTATGTCCTTAAATTTAAAATTTAGTGATGCATAAACATATTTTAATGCACGTCGATATTGTGTTTAATATATTTATGTATTAAGCTCTTTCAATTCAAAGATAAAAAATTATATTGACTGCTACTTCAAAAAAGTATATACAAGATAAATTAAAAAAAATCACCAAAAAAGTGGAAATTTTTAGAAATTCATAAATATATTTAAACGATGTGTAATATTCAAAAATCATTAAAAAGCATTATGCATGATTTACATCGTTAATTGCCTCGTTATTACGCTCCATCAAAAACATAGAAAATAGTTCATGTGCTTCTAAATTTCTCAAACGGTCCTGAAATTAATCAAAATTGCTGTGTTTAAAAATAGTGATAAGTAAAGCTAAAACTAAAAAAGCGAGAATTATAAAATTGACATGGCTTAATTTTGTATGACCTAATAAACGAATTTATCATATAAATTAAAAGTGTATATAAAAATCTATTGTATAACATTGCCATATTATTTTAAATCTTATTTACTTTTTTCGATAATATACTACTGCTCAGTAATAAAAACCTCATTTGGAAGGAATAAAGAAAAAGTCGATTGTTTAAAAACGTTGATTAAAATATATAAATGGAAAATGTGTACTGCTAGACTAAATATCAAGAATGACAAGGTATCGGAATTAAATAAAATAGAATAAATAAAAAAAAATTTATTGAACATGCAAAATTAACCCAAAACTTAGAAAATTTTTTTTATGAAACGTGCTTAAAAAATAAGCAATAATAATATGGTAAATATTTTATAAAAACAATGTAGGAAGACATATTTTACGATTGATGTTAAATTTAAGTATGTAGCATAAGAAATTAACAATTTGTGAGGTATTCCAATACTTCATCATTCCGCTCACAAAAAATTTAAATATTTATTACTTAAAAACAATTGGTCCAAATGTGTATTGTTATATATTTAAATTATTAGAAAGATATTTTGGTTGATAATATAAAGTTAAATATGTATGATAAAAAAAGTAAAAACTTAAAATTTTATATGATAAAAATATGAGTTAGTTTTAAAAATAACTTTAGCTGGAGGTATTAAGCGAAAACAATGTTTTCAAAAACCTTAATTGATGTTGAAATAGTGAGTGGTATTCGATGAATGAATTATTCATTTCATACTCACACAAAATGTTTACCTAATTCTTTAAGATTTTATTTTAAAACGTTGGAATGTTTTTAAAATCCGTAAAGTAATAGTTAAATAAGTAAAAACAAATAAATATTAGTTTTAATAAAGATATACCTCAGGAGTAATGACTGGTTCGGAAACTGCATCTATTAGACTAGCGTACATTGCTTTATAGTCATTTGTATATTTCTTATGATATCTATATCGTATGATGAAAAATTCAATCTTATTAACATATCGCCATGTTGAATAACTTTTTAACTGCACAATTAATTTCGACACAGAATTCTTGTTCATAAATGATAGGCATGTATATGTTGGCTCTTCCAAACTCCAATCACCAGGCCTATTAGAGTTTTCCCAATCACCTAAATTTAAGAAATTCTGAAAATAAAATTTTGTTAAGCGATTAATTTTATAGCTCATTTAACGCGTTAAAAGTAAAATTATTTTATCTAAGAGAAATTATCGGCAAAAATATATCATATATTAGATTATATTTAATTTTTTAATAATTACCACGACTATAATTAAGATAGATTGATTGATTAAAAGAAATGTTTATGTTATAATATTAATTATATTTAATCGATAGTTATAGTTGTTATTTTTGGGACTTTGAAGTTACAATTTTTATTTTAATAACTAAGAATATACGAGACAAAAATTAAATGCTAAATTATTTTAACAAATTTAAATCATTTAAAGATATTTTCACTAATAAAGATTTTGAAGTGTAAAGTTATTTTGGTTGTAGTAATAAATGAGTCAAATAACTATGTATTCACGAGTTATTATAAGAAGAATTAAAAAAAAAAAAAAAAAAAAAACCGTAAATTCTCAGTAGTTTTTTATGAGATAATTAATTTGTTTTTGTAACAGGTTAAAGGTAATAGTGTAAGACTATATTATATTTGTAAGAGTTTAATGTTTATGATGTTTATATTTAACTATAATTACGGGTATTTCCGGCGGTCGGACTTATCGGCGACCCGCGTATGAACACTGGACAGTTGTTGTATCGTACGCATCCCGATGAGACGACCGCCGTTGCCGTTCTCGCGATGTTTATTGTTTTTTTTGAATTTAAATATAGTTCTATTAAAGTTTTCAGAAGTGGAATATGAATCGTGCGCGTGATAATTTTTTTTTTATTATTTATGAATGTTAATGTCAGTTTGAATGCTTAATTATTAATTTTGAAAGTACAGTAAGTTGATTAATAATTACAGGAATTCGTTCCGCACAATTGAAACCAAGAAGGATGGTGAACATAATGAAGAAAGTTTGAATGACACCATGGCTATTACACAACAGAACGGAAATACACAAAGTATTGAGGTACTAAATAAGGAAAAATCGCAGCTCAAATACGTTAATGGTGCAAAATAATATGCTCATGGAGCTATTGAAATTGCAACAGAATAAACCACTCAACGATATAACAATATCTCCGGATTTAAATAAGTCGATACCGGTTTTCAATGGTCTTAATACTGGTTATCAAGCGTTTGACTGGTTGCGGACCGTGAATGGAGTTGCTAATTTACATAGGTGGCCCGATAATTTTAAGCTACAGTCCGTACGCGCAAATTTAGAAGGTGCAGCCCGACATTGGTATGCGTCGCGCGACATCAAAAATTGGCTGGACTTCGAAAAACAGTTCCACAAAACGTTCGTTGGTACTGTCATGATCGGCGATCGGTGGAAAGAAATGTCCCGCCGTGTTCAAGTTCGTAACGGAAATATACACGAGTACTTCCATGAAAAAGTATATCTATGTAAGATGGTTGGAATGTCTTTTCACGAAATGAAAATACAGATATTGGAAGGTTTATAATCAGACGAAAACTATGACAACCGGAGTGCTAACTATGCGCTCGTGTTATAACTGTGGGTCGAAAGACCACATTTCGCCGCAGTATCCAAAGCCGAGAAGGGAGAAAGGTGAGTGCTACGAATGCGGTTCGACAGATCATCAGATAGGAGCTTGTCCAACACGTAAAAAACGATTCAGTGATGACGGAAAACTGAAGTCGGCTGGTCTGATGAATATTGACGTGGAGAGCGACAGTGGACCAAGGAACGAGTACCCGATATTGTATGAAGTTCAGTGCGAACTCAATGTACCAGTTGATGAAGAGGAGGAGTGTCATGTCAGGTTCAGCGCGGTAATCGACACAGGAAGTCCGGTAAGTTTACTTAAACGCGAGTTTGTTCCGAATAATAATTTGGTACTTAAATCTGCGGACGGTTGTGATTTTTTGGGAATTAATGGCACAAAAGTCGATGTATTAGGTATTTTTGAAACAAAATTATTGGTAAATAATAACATGATAAATATTATATTTTATATTGTATCAAACAATACTATGAGCGCGGACGCGATTTTAGGTAGAGACCTTTTAACAAAACCGGGATACAAAATCGAGTTCATAAATAATGAGGTAAACATAATTAAGGTGAATGAGAATGATACCAGGAAGAGACCGTTGATAGTTGGAATGAAATATTGTGTATTGATGTTAACTCAGATGTAAATGTGTGTAAAGATACAGTGAACTGTATCTACTAAACCCCGATGTAGACTGCGATGTGAATAACGAATCTATTAACATTTATAATGTTGAATATCTAGCGCGTATAAATGCAGAACCACACGGCGATGATAATTGCAATATTGAAATGAAAATAGTATTAAAACATGAACAACCTATATCTTTTAGGCCGAGAAGGTTGTCGTACAGCGAGCAAGGTAGTCTGCATAATATTATAGACGAGTTATATAATAAGACCAAGTAATAGTCCCCATAGTAGTCCGATTGTGTTAGTGAAGAAAAAAAATAAAGGTTTCAGGCTGTGTGTTGATTATCGGGAGCTCAACAAAATTATCGTTAAGGACAATTTTCCGGCGCCGTTGATAGACGATCAATTGGACCGATTAAAAGGAAAAAAATATTTACTTCGCTAGATCTGAAAAATGGATTTTATCATGTACGCATAACGAAGCTTCTATTCCTTATACGTCTTTTGTTACGCCCATAGGGCAATATGAATATTTGAGAATGCCGTTCGGGTTGTCAAATTCACCGCGAGTTTTTAATCGGTATATTCAATTTATATTTCACGACCTAATTTGTCGGGGAGACTTACTTGTGTATTTAGATGACATGTTAATAGCAACAGAAACTTTTTCAGAACATTTTAAAATATTTTTTTTTTTTTTTAACATTTATTAGAATATATACAATCTGTAATAATGGTTACAATAAGCATATGGGTTGAAATACAATTGTTGTGAATGCGTGAGGTGAGTAGCAACCCAGCGGTAACACTCGACATGATATTTAAGGTGAATTTTACATTACATTATGTACATTTTACTTAAGTATATACATATTTTTTTTATATTTTTTTTTCTCTTATTTATTTAATTTAAAGTAGTGACAATTTAGGTATCTAAATCGCGACACCAGCGTCTCTTTAATCTTCTTGGTGGATTACCTGGAATGTTTGCGGAGTTGAGGGCGAGGATAAGTGGGTTGGGATGGTTTGTAAGGCGAGATCGGTAGCGCTTGTAGGAGGATGTGGCCACTTCGGCTACAGTCGGTAGTCCAAGATCAGAGTGTAAAGTATGGTTGGTAACGTAAAAGGGAGCGTTGGTGATTATACGAAGTGTTATTGATTGGAATGTTTGCATTTTATATGTGTTCGATTTTTTTGCCGCTCCCCATAATTGGATACCGTAAACCCAAATGGGTTTCAGAAAGGTTTTGTAAAGCAATAGTTTATTTTTAAGGTTTAGCTTGGAATGTTTGCCTAGCAGTGGGTAAAGGCTTTTTCGTCTGGAGTTAAGTAAGAGACGCTTTTGTTTAATATGCTCGGCCCAAGTTAAGCGTTTGTCGAGGAGAAGGCCTAGGTATTTAACTTTGGTAGCTGATGGTATTATTTTGTTTGCCAGAGAGACAGGAGGGACTACGCCTTGTCTGAGAGTAAAGGTTATATGTGAAGATTTTTCGTTGTTTATTTTTATTTTCCAGTTTGAATACCATACTTCCATCTCATTGAGATGATTTTGAAGATGTTGGCTGGCGACAAGAGGGTTTTCATTAGAGGTGAAGATGATTTTGTCGTCAGCAAATTCAGCAACTGATGTATTAGAAGAAGTTGGCTGGTCTGCGGCGTATATGTTATACAGAATTGGGGACGAAATGGCACCTTGGGGGACGCCCGCTAAGATGGGTGCTAGGTTTGAGAAATCTGAGCCTACTTTAGTCACAAAGTGGCGATTTTCTAGATATGATTTGAAGAATAGGAAGTAGGGAGGAAGGAGAAATTGTTTTAGTTTATACAGAAGTCCAGTGTGCCAGACTTTGTCGAATGCTTGTGCAACATCGAGTAGCACTGCGGAGCAGTAAAGTTTGTTTTCGAAGGAGTAAGCAATGGCGTCGGTTAAGCGATGAATCTGGTGTATGGTGGAGTGCTTGTTACGAAAACCAAATTGGGTATGAGGAATTATGTTTTTATCGTTAATGAGCTGTGATATGCGTTTGATAATTAATTTTTCACAGAGTTTTGAAAAGAAAGGAAGGAGGCTTATTGGGCGATATGATGATGGAATGTCAGGGGGTTTGCCAGGTTTCGGGAATAAGATGATTACTGAGACCTTCCATTGCAGGGGCATGTAAGATAGTCTTAATATAGAATTAAGAATATGGGTTAGGTGAATAATTGCTTTATTAGGGAGTTGTCTTGCTACCTCTGCGGTGATTAGATCTATCCCGGGTGATTTTTTAAGAGGAAAAGATTTAATATAGTATTGAACCTCGTTTGGTGAGAACGGTTTGGGAGCAAGATAGAGAGGTAGTGGGTAGAGGAGGGAATTTTCAATATTTGTGTCTAGAAGATTGTTGTTAATATCATTATGGGGTTGAAAGACTTTTGAGAGGTGTGAACAGAAGGCATCAGCTTGTTCTTTATCTGTTTTGCACCAGCTGCCGTTACTATTTTTTAGTGGAGCTTGAGCGGTTTTCTGCTTCAGGCAGCTTGCGGGTTGCCCTCCAGAGTGACCCACTTTCTGCGGTAAGTGAGGAGGTCCAGTTATTGAAAGATTCGTTTCTTATTTTTCTTAACATTCGTTTTAAGGATGAGGCAAGATTATTGAGCAAGTTTTTGTCTGAGAGGAGTCTAGTGCGTTGCCATCTAGCTCGGGCTCGGCGCTTTTGAGTAATTAGTTCTCTAACGTAGGTGGGAGTTGTATGGGAATTGGCATGATGATTTTGGATGGTAGAAGAATTCCAAGCAGCTGATTGAATGGATTCGGTGAAATTTTGAACTGCATCCTCCACCTCATTAGGAGTCTTTAAACTAATATTGAGGTTTAT